AATAATTTTGTTAACATATTTATGAAAATAAAATAACAAATTTATGTTATTCTCAGAAAAGTAAATTTACTTTTCTGAGAATGTTTAGGCCAGCAGAGAAGGCCTTGCTGGCCCTGAGGGTCCACCACTGGATACGCCTGTGACCTTTGTGAGGAGAAGCGGCTCGGATAATGGATGGATGGATGAAATTATTAGACTGAAAATAATCCCTCAAAAGGAAACTGCATTTACACTCTACTGTTTATTTTTTATTGCACACCACACAGAGAACCAGATTGCACACATATAGACATGAAGAAGATAAACCAGAGTGAAGGAGTATGCAAACCCCCATTAGCTAGTGTTTGTGGGTGTGGCTTGCTTGAAGGCACATCTGCAGTCGTCGGGAAGCCAATTAGTATCTCCCTAACTTCTAGTCGTTGTATTCATGACCTGCTGCCCAACAAATATATTGCATGAAAAATCACATTTTGGATGGAGGAAGAGCACATTGAGCTTGTGTTAAGCGCATCTGCCTCATATTTCTGCAATTTAGGGTTCAGATCTCCAGGCCCTCCTGTGTAGAGTCCACATGTTCTTCGTAAGCTTGCATGGGTTTTCGGTGGGTACTGGAGCACATTGGGATCTATATATATATATATATATATGCCCAACTCTTGTCCGAAGTCAGATGGGATAAGCTCCATCAGACCAAGTCCCTAATAAGGACAAGCAGTATAAACTATCAATGGATTTATGGATGTACTAAAGACTACAGAAAAATATGATCTTTTTCATACTTTGCAACCGATGACACCAGCAGGATCATTTGAATTGCAAACCACGAGAGAGTTCACATTTTGAACGTGCAACTTTACACGGTGCCTCGCTGCTTACGTTCCACGCACTTGCGCGTCAGTATTCACATGTGTGTCCTAATGCAACCCGTTTGATCTGTCAGAATGTGTGCTGATCATACAGAGGTGCTGAATGCTTTTCCCACACTGACTTTCCCGGCCACACGCACACAAATGCACAGCCCATTTGGCTGGCGAGAAGAAGCTAGCCTTTTAAAAGCCTTAAAAGCCCCCCAGTGTGGGAGCTGAAGCAGGGCTGCCCGTTTGACCCGCGTGCTTTTAGAACTTGGCTGTAGCAATTGAACTCAGGATGCACGTCGGTTACTACGATCCAAACGCTGTGGCATAAACACACACACACACACAGACCCAGACACACACACACACACACACACACACACAAAGGAGCGTCTTCTTTAGATTTTCACTCACCTGAATTGTCACACAATTTGTGAAGGTGTTCCTCCCCTTTGATCCACATATTCCCATAAAATGTTTGGTTGACTGTGTCATTGTTGGCAAAATTTAACTTAAATTGCAGTGTCAAATAAGTGGTTCATTAAAAGTAAACTTAATACAACTCTTTGATGGTACCGGTGTGTTTGAATATCCTCATTTTTTTGCACATATCACATAAACGTGTCACAATTTTGACATTTTGACCCAAAACTGAGGTGTTTTCGGTACACGGTGCCTCGCTGCTTACGTTCCACGCACTTGCGCGTCAGTATTCACATGTGTGTCCTAATGCAACCCGTTTGATCTGTCAGAATGTGTGCTGATCATACAGAGGTGCTGAATGCTTTTCCCACACTGACTTTCCCGGCCACACGCACACAAATGCACAGCCCATTTGGCTGGCGAGAAGAAGCTAGCCTTTTAAAAGCCTTAAAAGCCCCCCAGTGTGGGAGCTGAAGCAGGGCTGCCCGTTTGACCCGCGTGCTTTTAGAACTTGGCTGTAGCAATTGAACTCAGGATGCACGTCGGTTACTACGATCCAAACACTGTGGCATAAACACACACACACACACACACACACACACACACACACACACACACACACACACACACACACACACATCCATGTGAGCACCAGAGGGAACTCAGCACCAAAGCCCGAGTTGATTTTAAGAGCGTTGAATTTTGAAAGGCAAAGACTCTCTTTCCTAATCTCCTCATCCCTTTCCCACACCTTCCCACCCTCCCTCTGTGTTGCAGGAGAATTCTGGGGAGATTTCTGACTCTTTCAATCCTCAAAGATGAAGCAGCACTGGGGACCCGTTCACTGAGGCGGGTAAGGGCTCACTGCTTCGATGACCTCCAAATGCAAAAACGTTTTCACGTAAAGCCTCGAAAGATTGTTGGATGCGGTTTGCTCAGAGTTTTTTTTTTTTGGTTTTGTTTTTCCATTGTAAATCTTCGATGACCTCCAAATGCAAAAACGTTTTCACGTGAAGCCTCGAAAGATTGTTGGATGCGGTTTGTTCAAAGTCTTTTTTTTTTTGGTTTTGTTTTTCCACTGTAAAAGCAAAGAGAGGATTTGGGCCATGGGAAAGCAGAACGGGGCACACACATACCGATTTTTAACGTCTTAACCAATTTTTAAAGTGTGAGAGACCTTACATATTTACTGTCTGTTTAGTAAGTGAGATAACGCAGCACACCACACATAATCGGATATCACCGCCGACAATAGCCAGTGTCCTCCCACAAACCAGATGGCTGTCGTAGTACCAAGACTGACCTGTGAGAGGTAGCAAGGCACCACAGGGAAGACATCCAGAAAATCCAAAGCAGAAAGAATCGTAGTGGAAGAAAAAATAGAAGTTCGGCTTACTGTTAGCGTATCTGGTAATTAGATTGTGACTGAGAACTCTTTATCAGTGTTCGGAATCTCTCCCTGTCCACTAACGCGTATCTGGTAATTAGATTGTGACTGAGAACTCTTTTATCAGTGTTCGGAATCTCTCCCTGTCTATTAACATCGGGATCGTCGACATGGTGCCTGCAGGCCATAGGCTTGTTCTGAAAATATTTGTGTATAATATGCGTATTATATCGTAAAATATTTTGTGCTTTCCAAGGAATGTTGTAGAATTGTTCATTTGGAAACATAAGCATGAGTTTGATGGGTTTCCTACCTTGTGAAATCATTGGTGATGCATCATCGACATGATCACTTCGATTGGAAATGGGCAATTTAAATGTTGCAGGGGTCACAATTTTTCATCACAGCGACTAGGAGGCCACATAGGACCACACACTTCCGAAACAAATATATGTGACAAAATTATATTTTAAATTTGGACAAAATATGCACATATGTGCAAAATACGTGCTTTTAGTATATTTCATTTTTGCTAGTGCGTTTTCGAATGCAAGTGTAAAGGATCCACAATCCTAACCCAACACCAAAGGGTTTGAAGCAAACAAACAAAATAACCACATACTGTGATGTGTTTTTTTACGGTGCAAAGGGCTCTCTTGCATCAAAATCATCATTCAAGGACAGCACAAAACTGCTCAACAAGAAACTGAGATTAAGTGCAAGAACTAATTTTTCAAAATGTTTTGAGAAAAATCAACTCACTCAGAACTTTGATATGATTGAATGTTTGGCATGCATATAATTAAAAATTTGCAAAAAAGTGATTAGGCACACTCACATCAGTAATACAGTATAGGGCAGTATAAGACCCAGTGTCAGCACATCTAAGACTTGCCTGCCATCCAGTGGCGATTTGGTGATATTACAACTCAAAACTACAGTCAACCTCTGCATTTTTCCTTTTGTCTATATTTTGCCACAAAATATGATGCCACATCATTGATCTAATTGATGATGATGATGAAATGATCATGATGATGAAGTAATGACATAACGTCGATTCGTCTCCAGCAACAGCTGCTTCGTAATTGACTATCACTCTCGTTCACATCCCTTTCATCATAAATACTTACTGACTGGTTGCGATTGGCCGGCGACCAATTCCGGGTGTACTCCGCCTCTAGACCAAAGCACACCTGCGACCCTAGTGAGAATAAGCGGTAAAGAGAAGAGTTCGATGGATTTGCGATTGTCAGTCTCTTCTCCAGATTATGGGGGAAGAATCAGACTGAATACATCCCGCACCAGTTCAAAATCATCTTTTGGGAACATTCATTCAAATTGGGGAAATGCTTAAATACAGCCCGATTGATGGCATGTGTGTAACCTGCCGATGTGACTCCAGAGGGACCAAAATATGAAAATTTAACCAACATCCGCTACAGAGTGGACAGACTTGCAAACGAAGCAGACAAGACAGAGTGGCGATCCTCGTCTCTTTTTAAAAGGCCGCCTCTTATACATTATTGACGATGTAGCTCTCAAACGCATCGCCGAGCTTTTCCTCTCATGTCGACTTTTGCATGGCGTCACCATTCTAAATATAAAGCATGTGTTCACCCCTTTCTACCGTGTTAAAAGATGCAGCAGAGACTGTGTGCGCACGACTCTCCAGTGCCATTTTCTTCCTCCTTTGTCTGAGCCTGAAAACTTGCAAATAAAAAAACAGTTTTCATCTCATTCTTTGAAAGGGGCCCTCTGTGGGATTTCCCCCAAAAAAATGCACACAGGAGGAATTCACATGTTATTAACAGGATAGATTTGGATGGCTCATAAATTACTTTGAAACAAAGATAAAAGAAGGAAAGTAACTCCGATTTAACTCTGAAGTCAGCTTGGTCACAGTTGGTGTAGTATTCAATTTTGTCTCTAGGTGGCAGAGCAGCAACATACCCAACGGGTATGTTCCTGTTTTTGCAACCTTTCTCAAACATGGAGCCTAAATGATCAGTTTTTACTGTGTCACTCAAAGTGTTTGTTTGTTCGTTTGTTTGTTTGTTTGTTTGTTTGTTTGTTTGTTTGTTTGTTTGTTTTACTCATCAAGCTGGCACATGAATGAAGTCCCTCTGTATCATTTCTTTAACATTGGCAACAAACACTGATGAATGTGTCTCTAATTTTTGAACATATATAAAAATATATTTGTCAGCTTCCAACAATATTTGCTTCTGTCACGACATTATTTTTTTTCCCTCGTAATTTTTGGACCAACTGAAAATTAATTCAAAACCAATTCATGATACATTAAAAAAAAAAAAAAAAAAAAGATGCTCCAGTTAAAGTGGATGAAAAACACATCAGAACCGCATGCAAAAATATATTGTTATTCGTTTCAGTATCATTCGGAGGAAGAACCACGGTCCTAATTTGGGTCTCGAGCTGGGAAAGTTTGTGAAACCTGACTGTTGAGGAATTGATTGGCCCAATTTGGCAACCGGGGCATCCGCAAGCCTCACTTCATTTGTCTTCATCAAACAGACAAGCTTATCAAGCAAATGACTCTTCTTGGATGACAAGAGAAACTATTTGTTCATCAGACGAAGCTTTCTGTTGATTGATCAAGTTTGCAGAACGTTTATGCTCTTCTCTATTTCAGCTCTCACTTCAAAACTGCCCTGCTCAGTGATGAACCATGACTAAAGGTAATGTAAACATTTGTACATATATGTGTGCTGATTACATGTGGGACTGTATGCTTCCAGGTAGACACTATAAGTGTTGGAGGTGTGCCTTTTGCTGTTGATTTTATTACTTATGCCGTAAATGGCTGCCAGGCTCAGTGTGTCAGGTTTCTATAGTAACAGTGCACATTAGTGCTGGGCCTGAGTGGGATATGAGGGGTGCACAGGGTGAGGTGAGGGGGTGGAATTGGAAATTAAGTGCCTCCAGCCGATGAGTGCGTGTGTGTGTGTGCGCATTGGTGCTTGTGTATATACAGTATACGTCAAGGTGTCATCTTGTAAGGAGTGTGACGGGGTAGGAAATTTCACACACACACACACACACACACACACACACACACACACACACACACACACACACACACACACACACATATGTTGTGTCTGCAAAGGAGCGTAGGTTGTGAATAACCTGCATGTGTGCCTCACCGACCAACAAGAGACATCGCGAGTGGGTTGTGTTCGGTATCACTTCCTTTGCCACATCAGTGGAGATGTTATGACACATAATACACTGAAGATGAGAAATTTCATGTCAAGTTAGGCCGTATTTTTGGCAGTGGTAGTCATAGCAGTTATTGCCAACGTGTTGTCCTGATATGGGGACATTGTCGTTGTTTGATGAAGACTGTGAAGACTTTTGGGGGGAGCAATAAAGACACGTAGATAAAAAAAAAAAAAAATTTAAAAAACTAAAAATTCAGCCAACCAACTGCTCTCAGAATGAAGAAGCAGCGCTTCAATATTTCGTTACTTACGCTTTTAATAACGGTTTCACCTTAGCGGCTTTGTGCTCCACTGAGAACTACTTTTGGTTACGTGTTTAATTATTTTGCAGGACTACACACAAACTACCAATCCAATCTTGTGGCTGGAAGTTACAGGCTGAGACAGAAGGACATTGCCCTTAAGTCTTGTTTATTTTTCTGTGAATAACACAGAACACTTGGCATAGGTTTGTAACTATATTAACTCGATATCTCTGAATGAATTCCAACAAAAGAATTATTTTGTTTGTTTCCATTCGGCAGAGTAGTGATTGTACAAAGATGAAAGGTGTCTACTGCCCCCTTGTGGCTCGTTTTTGCATTTTAGCATCAAAAGGAGACAAAATTGTATCAAACCTGTTTGACCTTAAACCAGTCTATTATCTCTGACTCAAGCAGAGGTCAATATCATGACGGTCAGCGGAAGCATTTTTCCGGAATCACAATTGAAGAATTTTCCGTATCCAAGTGCTCCAGAAAACGTTATGTAACACAGCAGCTGCGGTGAAACGTTCTCAGACTGCCACTAGAAAAAGAAACACCACTGAATCATTTGCCGTTTAACTTGAAACTGCAGTGAGAATGATCCTTTTTAATATCATTAGACAAGGATTTAAATTCATTCAGCCTGGAACATCAAGATTATGTTCTGGCAACAGTGTGTGCAAGGCGGAAACACCACTCTCTTTTGTTCCTGTGCTTCTCTGAAGCTCATTGCTATGCACCAATGTCACACTGTTTGCACACGAGTTCAGCTAAATGAAGGCAATGTTGAAATCATTTCAGTGCTATTTGAATAGTGCTGAAGTTATCTTGGGGCGTTTTTTTTTTTTTTATTGCTTCCTATTTTTATTAATACACAGTGCTGAGGGAAAAGATGCTAGAGCCCTCTCTTGCTATGACATTTTGCCATTTCTATCCCAGAATGCATTTACATGGCCAGCGTTTGTGATTTACGTGAAGATTTGGGTGGCCACGACAAGTTGTTGCCAAGGCACAAATATGTGATATGTTTTGGTGTTTGTTGTGCACATGATGTTTGCACATGTTGCAGAAATAGCAAATCAGAACATTGAAAGCACTTAACGTGTCACCGACTATTCTGCAAACTGCACATGAGGATTTGTTTGATGCCTTGATCGTATATTTTTTTGTAGATTTTTATTGTTGTTAGAGTGTTGCTTCTTTTTTGTTGTTGTTAAAAATATTTTTAATAATAATTCAAAAATACATATGAAAAAATGGTTGCTTCTTTCGCAAAAAGAAAAAAATAAATTCGCTAAAGAAGCGATCTTTTTTTTTACAGTATTTACATACACATTTACAATACATAATATTTCTTATTTTTTTATAGAATATTTTTCTTTTAACAATGCAGAATTAATTAATAACGTGTAAATTTTAATCAACTGAAGAATACATATCATTGATACTATTGTGGAAGTGGGACAATAAAACAAGTAATTTTCTTGAAAATGTCATAGTTGAGCAAAAATTGTCATTTGACATGTGCCAAAAATGATGTCATATTTTCACTCATATATAATTTAGACTTTCCAGACTTGCTGCCACTGATGATGTGCGGACAAAGCCGTGACATTTGATTGCTCAGGCTGATGCCGAGCGATGCGGTCGAGAAAAGATGAATGATTTGTACAGATGTCAAAAAGAGAAGATGTGTTTTTAAATCTTTAATTTCTTAAACACTCAGGTTAAAAACAACAACAACAACAACCTGCCATGACTTTTGGGCGTAAGGGGATAAGACGGCCTGACATGAACCTTTAGATGACATTTTAAAGAAGCCTTGAGTCTTTTCAGCATACGCCAAGCCAAGCAACCACACGCTTTGTCTCCTGTGTTTGCACAACGTGCAGCCTGCACCTTGCAAGACGTGGCTTCACCCAGCGATTACACCTCGACAATTCTTCAAAAGAGAATTTAACTTCGGCCAATCGGGCTTAATCTGGCCATGTGGAATGGGACCTGGGTCCTGTGGAGCCTTGGCCAGATATGACGAAGAACAAAGAGTAGGCAGATTAGTGGGCACGAGGAAGAGGTCGGCGCCTGACAGGCCGTCTCTTGGCAGCTCCTCCCAAATCTCTCCACTCTCCCTAATGAAGTCTGAGGCAGACATTATCCCCCTGGTGTCTGTTTGACTTTCTCTTTGCCGAGCTCTGTCCGCTTCCCTTCCTGTGAGGTGAGCATGTGGGCGATAGGAGAGGAAGAGTGTGTGTCTTATCGCTTCATTAGCCCGCGGATTTCTGGGTCACTAGTAGCCTTGTTCCCACTGTCTCACATGCTGTAATTACCCTCACATGAGTCACACCACATAATTAGGATGGCCCCGGACCCGCTCGGTGGGGGCCCACACGCAAACACACAAACACATAAATGTTAGTTTTAGCATGCAGAGCAATTCTAATGAGATTATGTCGGTTGAGTGTTTTGCTCACAATTAATCATCAACCACGTGACTTCACGTTTCCTCCGAATCAATTATATTTTTCAATCGGGGGTTGGGCTAGACCCCTTAGTTTCTTCCTAAATCTACATAATTCCATCCGAATACTTCCGTGTTCTAGCATGTCTCCAGCTCTCAAAGCAGCACTCATAAATGCACGCTTGGATGAGTTTGGCGTGAAAGAACCCGGTAGCTCCGACCCCAACCCAACTAAACATCTCGAGATTGTGTGAAGACAGACACTGTGAGTCCACTTTCTATCCGGCTTGTGCTGTATTGTTTCACTGCGTGCAGACAGCGGAATGAAATTGCTTGCCAGGTTTTTACAGGTGTTTCTGTGCTAGTTCCTGTCAAAATAGTCCCAATACTTCACTATTAAAATGACCAAAGTGAAGTTTGACTTAGGCTGTCCCATTAGAGAGAAAATAAATCTGCGCTTGACCATAAAAAAGAAGCCATGGGACGAATTCTATCTTGTCATCCATTCTCTAGGTGGTAAATGCTTTCCCGCAGGGGTGCTTAAAAACAGCTTCTCTTTTGTTTTCATCATATCTCTTCTCTCAAAACCTTTCAATTTGTACTGGATATATCCTACTGACTGACCAGTTAATGGAAATACTGACAACTCAGTGCAATGAGTCTCTGTCCAGAATATTGTGTTGGGGGAAATCTATGGTATTACGTCCATGTAGTGGGCAAGTCGTGGGAAAAAGGCCCTCCAAAAGCTTAAATACATGCGCGCACACACACACACACACACACAAGGGCAATAGATTAGGGTGGGGATTACGGAAGCACACTATAGCTGTACATCAAGCCGGGACAGATCACTGTCATCCTTCATAAACATAAAGACTGGAGAAGTATTAAGAATGTACAGTAAGTCAGGATGGATTTGGATGTCTTGATGGCTTACTCAAACTTAAAATGAGGCAAGCAAAAAAAAAAAAAGCTAAATATATATTTTTTAAATACATCTATTCATAATGTGCCTTTACTAGTTTCAATATAAATGAGGACTGTATATAAATCCACACTCTACTTCAGTTTTTGTTTGCATTTTTACACCGATGGATTGTAGTACTGTAGTTCATTTAAGGTTGAAGAGATTTGTCATGTAATTATTTCTCATATACCGCTCTGTGATCCGACCGATCTGATCTTTTGACGTACATGTTCGCATTGCTAAAACAAATGTGACTTCACATGTGAACGGTATGCGTCTGTGATGTGACACGCATGCGCACAAAGCATGACATCGAGTGACACACACACACAAAAAAAAAATAGGACCTCACATGGCACGTTGTTTTCTGAAGTAAGTGTCTTGGGTGTTGCGGCTCAATTCAGAATGACAGAGGAGCGAGGCGGGAGGAGGTAGAAATATTTGGAGGAGATGGCACTCCTTCATCTCCTGAATTTCATGGAGACGTCTACTAAAGATGATGTCATGTCAGTGCTGCGTGTAATGAATGTCTGGATGAATTTCTACTTTCACCACAAATATCCAGTTTATGCTTCATGTTTCAGGTGGGATTAAATATAAAATTCAAGAACGTTTGTGAGTACTCTCCCCAGCACTTTCCCCCATCCGCGCGGACTGCATAATTGGCTATTGATGACATATAGGTTGAATGTGTGCAGATAAGCATTCGTACTGCAGATGCATCTGATTTAAGGGCCCTGGGGGAAAAAAAAACAAAAATCAAAAACAAAAATAGCAGGGGGTG